ATTTCCCAAGATTAATATATCTAGAAAAAATTTTATATGAACACATCAATTATTTATCCAAAAATAAGATAAAATTGGTTGATTATTATTAAGACGATCCAAAATACAGAGATATTAGAATGGATCTTAGAACCCCTTTATAATTTGAGATTGAGTATAATGAACCAGCTTAATAAGAGGAAAGTTATGAAGATATATGTAAAAATAGAAATCATAATAATAACATATTATAAGATTAATTCTAAAACAAAGTATTAATTGTAAATTTATTTTTGTAGATAGTATAAATAGTAGATGACGATTCAATATCAGCTCTCAATTTGTCAAGAAATCTATTAAATAAGCAAAATTAACCTTTATCACCCTTAATTGAAATAGTAAAATACAGAATCCTGATAAAAAGAGGATTAGAAAAAAATCCATAACAAACAAAAAATATAATAATCAAATTACATCTAAAAGCATCCATTATGATATCGGTTCAAAGAAGACTAATTAATGGAATTAATGCATAATAATAAATAGCAAAATTATTTAATTCAATTATTGGAGATGAAAGAAATATCAATTATTTTGATTTATTTAAACTTGAATCCATAGACCCACTTTTAGTAATAGAAGTACTTAAAACTATTTCAAAAAATAATTAACATTTAGATTAAGATAATTAATTTGTAAAATTACTTTCAGATGTTTTATCTATGGAACAAATAGCATAAGATTAAGTAATTTAAGGATATCCCTTAAAGTATAACCCTCAAATTCTTTCTGAAAATTTAGTTAGAGATGAATCATTAACCTGTAGTATCTTCTCAATTCTCTAAAGAAATTTATTGATCAATAGATAATTTTCTTAATTTGATTATAATTAGATAATCAATAATTTAATGAGACCTCTAAATATTTAAGACAATAGAATGTTGTTCACACCTAAATAATTAGATGCAACAGTATTATTCCTAAGTTTGTTGATTAGAAATTATGATCCACATTTAAATAACTAAAGATAAAATGAACTTACTAAAATTGTTGAATATTACATTAATCAAGTGTTTAGCTTGTAAAAACCAACTCAAAATGGTTATGTATAAATAAATGAGACAGACGCAGATCTTATTATGAATTCTTGCATTAATGCATTAAATTTATAAATAAATAATAACTAATTTCTTATAGATGGATTTTAGACTAATAACAATAATACAGATAATGAACATTAACTAACTAAAATGATTGTAGATTCTCATGTTTTAGGCTATATTGCAAATATATTGCAATAGCCAGGATAATTTACTAAAACTGTCCGCCAAGCTTTACGATTAATTTCTTCTTTACTTAATGCAAATTTTTAAGAGATTGATAAAATTGTTAGTTCTAACTTACCTGATGTTTTAAATGAAATCATTCTAAAAATGAGTACTGATAAAATAGATCCAGAATTAATTATGGCTATAATATATTTTTATGCAAATATAACAAAAGGAGAAGAAATTAATAAATTCAATGATTATGCAAAAGTATTTCTAGATCGCCTAATAAATTATCATTTAATTGTTTAAAATAATATTTATGACTTAAGTTTGTTATATTTAGCAATATTTATAAATGAGTATAATTACATAAATGATAAGAGTAAAATTTAAATACATGAAATATTAGTAAAATTATTAGGATAATTGTTGGAAGAATTAAATAACTAACAATAAAATTTAAACTTTAATTAAGATTTTGAATCATAATTTTAAAAAATTCAAAAGAAAAAAACATAAACTTTATTATTTCATCGTGAATTATGTAATTAACAAAATCAAGGCTTATGTTAATATTTAAAAGAGCAATAATATTTTGATATGTTAGCTAAATTATTCAAAATCCCTAACTTCAATAAGTTCATTATTATTCAAGTATTTTATTTGTATATTTTAGGGTTTTAACTCTGGTTAATGTCTAGAAAAAGCATTATAATTAATAGATGAATGGGAAAGAGAATTAGGATCTACTTTAGAAAGAGTGACATTTTTGCATTTCAATTAAAAAATGCTTATAGAAAATTGTTCTATTTAAACTTATTAGATAGCTTCACGTTTGTCAGAGATTTTACATTATCTATCATAACTTTAATTTTAAAATAATAATTTAGTCAATAATTAAAACTAGTCTGCTAAACTTATTGATAAATGTTGTGCATTATTGGAAATAGTTTTAGTCACTGAAAATGAGAATAAAAATTCTTCAATTATTTTGTTTTAAATTTTAAGATAAGCGATTAGATAATAATAAAATAATATGAATAATCTGCAACCATTAAGTAGATTATTAATTAGACTTATTATTGAATCAAATAATCATCCCACTATGACTCTTTAATTACTAAAAAAAATAAATAATAGTTTTAATTTAGTTAATTTAAATTAAAATATTAAAAAGATTATTATTGACTCAAAATTTGGAAATCATTTGTAAGATGTTATATAGAATTATATTTTAATGATTAACTCTGATAGCTCAAACACATAACTCATAAATTAATTAGGGGATGAAATTAATAAAATTTTAGAATACTTATATAGAATTCCTAATATTCCTACATAAGGGACTGATTTGTTAGTTATATCTAAAATAATTTCAGATATAGGTTCTCTAATATAAATAACAAAAAATTCATCACAAGAAAGCATTAAAAAAATTCAGATATTCTTATTATAAGAAGCAAGTTTTATTTCTAGCCCAAGATTTTTAAAAAACTTTGATGGCATTTCCTAAAATAGAATTCATGAATAATTAATGATTCAACTAGAATAAATGGGGTACTAAAGTTAATTAATAAATAATGTACTTATGGAAAATCCTAGAATAAGAAATGCGGGTTAATTTATTGATTTTGTGACACTGAATTAATAGAGACTTGAATCAGAAGGTACATTAACTCAATAAAGTGATGAATTAATTATCCAATAAATCAAAATTTAATAAGAGTCAATAAGACTACAACTTAAAGAAAATATTAAGTTATTTTCAAACTTTGATAATTTGATTGGACTTGAGATACAACTTAATTTATCAGAAATATTAAGCATTTTATAGTCATCTGTTTAGAATTAATTTAACCTAAGTCTACAATTTTAAGGCGTTGAAATTGAAATGTCTAACCAACCTGATTATAACTTATAAAGTATTATTTTAGTATTAAGCTTGCTTTATAGACAATAAATATAATAATAATAGATAGAATAATAATAATAATAATAATAATAATAATAATAATAATAATAATAATAATAATAATAATAATAATAA